AATTTGTTGGGAAAGGTCATATGGAACGCGCTTGATACGAGCTGTGATCCAGACAGTCATGTACATTGGGTGCATGTTCCCTAGAGTTGCCAAGGATTTCCCACCGTGAATGGGGTTCTGAAAAGGAGAAGAGAGAGAGGAAAAGGCAGCAGTGTGGCAAGTGTATATATATAACCAAAGCACTACTTAACCTGTCATGTTAAAGTAGTCAATACAGTAGTAAGTCAAGATAACATTCATACTGACCACTTAAATTAAAGTAAATTATGGGAATATAAGAATATAACGCACAGATAAAGGATTACAGCAAAAAGAAGGGAGAGTTGTGCAGTGTCAGGTGGATAGAAGAGAAGTCGAAGTAAGAAGCTGGATTTATGTACGTTGAAATCGAAATTCTAGTTAAAAGAGTAGAGTTTGTAAAAATAAATATTTGACGAATAAAATCTCGTACTGTGTAACTGTTTTTTTTTCTTTATTATTGAATGCCAACCTCTAAGTCATACTGTAAGCGCCTGAGTAAGAATGTTGCAGGTGTCTGGACAGAATAGCGACCTCAGCATAGTTTTGGAAACATGAACCACAGAAGTAGCAAGCGTATAAGAGCAACCTCAGTGTTACTGATTAGTCGTCTCATCAATCTAAAGAGCCGAAAGCAAACAAAATGTTCTGCCCCACAAACATGGGTTGTTTGAAGTTATCGCCCATACCATCAATGTTTGCTGGTGGAGGAAGAAGTTAATGGAGAGGAAGAGGAGTTGGCTGAAAAATCACCAAGACTGTTACCATATAAACATCAAGAGGTTGTATTCACACAAACTGATATTCCTGTGAACTTATCAGGTGCAGATTCTACCGAAGGTTTACATAATTTGATTGCAGAAGCTACACAATCATTGAAAGAAGCTAAACGATGGACTAATGACAATGATGATGATGAGGAGGATTTGGTGGCTATTGATGAGAATAGTATCGATTATGAAATGGAATATCTTAATAATAATGATACCGACGATACATTGTCTGTTAACAGTCTTTTTCAACAGTTTAGACAATAATCAAATGGTGCCAATAATACAAATTCATTGAATGGTTATTCTGCTAGTTTAAATTATCAACATGCTATTCCTCGATTAACATTGAAAGGTACAGCTGCTGCAGCATCAACTCGTCGATGTAATGAATCGATACTGAAATATATTCATCAAGCTGTAATTATCCCAGACAATATATATTGATCTACTTAAAAAAGATGATAGTATAGATCAGAATCTGAAAACGGATTATGTTGGTACTGCGTTTTGGGCACTAGCTAGTGAATTGCATGATTGTAGAATCCAAGTACAAAAATTGCAATCTCGCGTTCGGAATCTAGAACAACGTTTGACTGCCCAAGAAGCCGCTGCGGATGAAGCAACTGAAAGACTTTGTTTGCAGTACCGTCATTTGGAACTGGAAATTAAACAATCACAACACAAATGTTCACAATTAATGATGTTATCACAACAGCAGAATGTGTCAAACACTGACAACTACTCTCCGGGAGCTAATAAGTTATGTAACCCAAAATACCATTCGTAATTGTTGAATGCTTCCTCATACAAAGAAGATGATGGATTGGTGGTATCTGGCGAAAATGGCATTGAATCTAGCTAACTTCCACAAAAATAAAATCAAATTGCATGTGTCTGGTTTTGTTTCTTTGTTCATTTATTCATGATCACTTATTGTTTGCTTGTTCTGTTCTTTTGTGATCCATTCAATATTTTCTACTGAGATATAAAAACACAAGCCATGAACTGTCAGAAGGCAAATCAAATGGAGAATATAGAGGATGTATTGTTGATTAGAAAACTGTCAAATTATAAATATATATCTTTGCTTTTCAACGAAAGCACCCATCTCCTTTTGTTTTCTCTCTTCTTTTTCTATATATCCTATATTTTTAAAATTATTTTTGTTGACAAATTATGCAAAATAATCTTCATTCGGTTTAATCACATATTCACATATAGGGTTGATGAATTGTGAATGACTGACTATTATTGTTGTGTTTTACACTGATTGATTTTACTGCACATAAGGCATACTCTCTCCAATATATATATATATATATATATATATATATATATATATATATATATATATATATTGGCTTTTGCCAATCTGCGTCACTTATGGCGCAGGCGAGATATCCGCTTGTTAACCAAAGGACGAGTGTACTGCGCAGCAGTTCGCTCCGTCCTACTATACGGATACAAACCATGGCCGTTAGGAGTAGAGGACATTCGTAGGGTACTAGTCTTCGATCATAGGTGTATCCGAAGCATTGCTCGTGTATCCTGAGACAACAGAGTAAGCAATGCTATCGTTATGAAACAGGTTCTAGGTACGGACGGCAAATAAATAGATGAAGTATTGAAACTTCATCAGTTGAGGTGGTTGGGACATGTGTTCCGTATGCCTAACCACCGACTACCTCGAAGAGCTACGTTTGTGGTGTAGGAGTAGGTTGGAAGAATGCTAGGGGCGGCCAAACCAAAACATGGCAGAAATCCATGAAGTCAGTGACAAGTGGACTGAGTCATGTTGGTAGATTTAGGCTATCTGGTTGGGGTCAGCGAGACGAATGTCACCAGTGGTTAGAGATCTTGAACGACATGGCTCAAAATCGTTTGCGATGTCGCAGGTGCATCCACTCTTTGTGTGCATTATAATTCTAACCTTCGGAATTCGTCATAATCCCTACTTTCGCCTTCTAAATTTATTTTACTGAATTATCGAATCATATCTTTGCTCCGTAATCTTCTCTATTGCTGTTAATGATTTTACTATTTCTACCACTCTTGGATTTGAACTGACAGTTACGTCTCTGTGCTGACGTGGTATGGCAACCTGAGCTGATGTACCAATGTATGAAGTTCTGTGTTGTGTCTGTATATCTGTCTTGCAAAAATTGAAGAAAGGAGGGACAAGAAGGCAGCAATCAGTGTCAGATGAACAAGAGCAGAGAAATTGAAGGCACAAGCTGCATACACAGAAGCAAACAGGCAAGTGAAGAAAAGCATCGGAGCTGGCAAACGAAAATATGTGGAAGATCTAGCAATGACGGCGGAAAAGGCTGCAAGAGAAGGAAATTTGAGACCATTGTACCTGATCAAAATACCAAAGAAAGGCGATTTCAGCGAGTGTAAGAACTACAGATGCATCACTCTTCTTTCAATACCAGGCAAAGTCTTCAACAGGGTATTGTTGAACAGAATGAAGGACTTTGTAGATGCCCAACTTCGAGATCAAAAGGCTGGATTTCGTAAGGATCGATCGCGTACTGACGAAATTGCAACATCACGGATCATTGTGGAAGAATCAGTTGAACGGAATTCACCTTTATTCATCAACTTCATTGACTATGAGAGAGCATTCGATAGCGTTGACAAAACAACACGATGGAGGCTTCTCCGACACTACAGCGTGCCTGAGAAGATAGTCGATATCATACGGAATTCTTAAGATGGATTGAAATGCAAAATCGTGCACGGAGGACAGGTGACAGGCTCATCAGCTGTGAATACCAGTATCTGACAAGGTTGCGTATTCTCAACCTTAATTTTTTAAGTAGTTGCCTGGATCATGAAGGTGATAACATCTGGAGGAAGCACGGGAAACTAGAATGCAGCCGGACAATCTGGATTTCGCAGATGATCTGGGTATTCAATCACAAACGCAACAACACTTTCAAAAGACGACCAGTATAGCAACAGCCTCAGCAGCAGCAAGTCTTAACATATGTAAAGGGAAAAGCTAGATTCTCCAATTCAACACAACATGTGCCAGCCAAACTACTCTTGATGGCGATGCCTTGGAGGACGTAAAAACATTTACATATCTGGGAAGCACCATTGACGAACAAGGTGCAGAAGTAAGGGCGCTGATCAGCAAAGCAAGAGCTGCATTTCTAAAATTGGACAACATCAAGAATCAAAAATAACCATCAACCAACGCCAAAATCAGAATTTTCAATCCAAATGTCAAGACATTTCTGCTGTATGTAGCGGAAACTTGGAACACTTCCAAAGTCATCATCCAGAAGATTCAAGTACTGCAGCCTAGTTGGCCAGACACCATCAGCAAAAATCTACTGCGAAAAGAACAATCCAGATTCCAGCGGGCAGGAGATCGGGAAGAAACGCTGGAAATAGGTTGGACGAGCACTGTGAAAATCACCCGAATGCATCACAAGACAATCTGTACCTTGAAACTCTCAAGGTGAAAGTAAAAGTGACAGATATGAGAAGAATGAACGAAAATTGGACGAGACTGAAGAGGGAAGCACAAGACAGAGCTGGCTGGAGAAAACTGGTGGCGGTAAAAGAAGTTAGTAAAAAAGTAAAGTAACCATAAGGTGCAGAGACGAGCAACCAAATGGGTAATGGAGTTAAATTATAATCATTATGATGATAGACTCAAGTGCCTGGTATTATTCCCTATGAGCTGCAGGAGAATCAGAAGTGATTGGTCAATGGCGTACAACATATGAAGTATGCTGAATCATCCCGACATGAATATCATGCCAAAGCATCACCACCATATCCTTCGGGGTATTCCTTGAAATTCCGTTCACCAAAGAGCGAAAATCCAGGTATACGTATACATTTTCTCGTCGAAAGATTTGGCGACTTGGAATGCTGTTCTAGCCGAGGTAACCACAGACCTCTTAGTGGATAATTTTAAGAATAAAATTGATAAGTACGCACTCACATATGGATTATCGTAGATTGGCTGTATTTGATACATGTCTAGTGACTTCCTAGCCGGTAATGTATCCTTATCCCCAGAGAAATAATCTCATCTATATCACTTACTAACTCAGTTTCCTCTTCCTTGCTTACACTTACTAGCGGAAAGAAATCAGTTTATCAAAAGATATTGGATGTTGGATAACCTTGTTTACATCCCTGAATAGTGCAATCTGTTGCTATCCTTTCATTTAAACTCAAAACAGCATGAGTGAAATAGATATCAAAATCATCAAAAGAACTCAAAATACCCTAGGAAAGTTAATCAAAAGGCCTGTACTAACTGAAAAACTTTTGATGAGGCCCCCATTTAGGTTTATACATGACATATGTACTTCAGTAAGTGAATAAGAAGAATTCTACTTAATAAATTTTCAAGTTAATCAGGTCGACAGGATTAATGAAAGGCTTGTTCAGCTCAGAAGAATTAGATGCTGAAAATGTTAAAGACAAAGATAAAAAGCTGGCATTTCTTCAAAAGCTGGTAGATTTTTTGTCGGTGGTGCATGAACGTACCATTCCTGTTAGAATAATGAGCATTGTTGCTGGTAAGGAGGCTGATAAAACGAATGAAATGCTGTACCTTCTTGCTGAAGCTGTCAAGAAGAAAGTTAGATTGAATAATATTTTATTCATTAGGCTAATAATGGAGAGTATGTAGCCCGTGTACTTCAAGGACGAAAACTCGATGATCCTAAGACAAATGTTGTCGAAATACATGTACCTGAAGCGAAGAATTCAGAAATCAAGTCTGCTAAGGAATCCAACTCAGTGGATCATAGGAAAAAGGCGTCTCAAAATCACCGGAAATATAAATTAAATGAGGAAAAAGTAAAGGAACAACAAATTAAACTTTCCTTTGATAATGATGAAAATATTTTATATACTACTGTGTATTGTATGCCTACTATATGTAAGCTTTCGAAGGTGTGCTAGTCAAAAATAATTTTCGAAAACTAGAAATTTCTTCAGCATGTTACCGTCATCTCAAAATCCCTGAATTCTTTCCAATTTGCCTTGGCAATGGGTGGTATCCTCGATCAAGACCTTGACTTCTAACACCCCAAAAAGTACAATTTTGTTCCCTGGAAAACCTGAGTGGGTAATGAGAAGCCTAGTTGAAAAAGGGTCCTGAAGGATTTTTTTGAGATGAGAGGGTCTTTCTATCTAATCCTTGCAACATAGTTGGAAAAACTATAATATTTATCAAGTATCAGCTAAGGCTTTTCTTATAGGTTTTGAACCTAGAAATTATTTAAAACCCTGAGTTATCTGAAAATCTGTTTCGTTTGATGGACGTAATGAATATTATTGAAACCTGATGGAATTTGACAAATACGATCTACTACAATTGAAAGAATATACTTTTGTAATTCTTTAATATAATTAGAGTTTGAGAACGAACATTTTAAAATTTTTCTGTCTACTTTCTCTTCATTCTCAACATAGTGCAAAAATGCATAACTGAATGCTTCAAACTTACTAAAACTAGAGCAATAATTAACATAAATAGTTTATCTTTTTGGTTGCGTTAACTTGAATTTATTCCATGTTAGTAGTAGTGTAAGCATATGCAAGATGGCTTTAGCTATCTGGTGTCCATTAATATTAAGTAATAGCATCAGGGAGGTCCATTTTGAAAAACGTCTTACGTTAGTTTCTCATAGATATTTATTTTGTTTCATGCAAAAGCACGTATTTTTTGTTATACTGCATTTTTTAAGACGTCATTGGAGGCAGAAAGAAGAATGTAAAATTCTGTAAAACTTTCCGTCTATGTTGGATGGAAACATCAGACTACTAAAGATACTCATTAAGATTAAAAAGACGGTGTGCACATAATGTAGATCCTTCCTGAAGTTCAATCAGTTACAAGTTTTTATTTAATAATGCCGTGAAATAATCAAGTGGTGCAAAAATCTCGATAAGTTTCTGAAAGCCAATAAACTTCAAGGTTTTTCGGCACATCTAAGTATAAGTTCTCGCAAGTTTTTCTAGAAAACTTTCGTCAAATAAATGGTACACAAGGTGTATATAGAGGAGTTTAGTTTTCAGAGGTTTTATTTATTTTGCTACTCAGAAATACTTTCATATCAACATTGAATAATTTCATGTACGTAAAAAGCGAATCATTAAAAGAAGTTAAAATTTAAGTGCTTCATTTACAATACCTGCGCATTTAAAACTAGTTATCGTGTAGAGTTAAAAATGTGCTTTCATGTTTATGTGAAAACATTAGCTTATGAATATCTTACCGGACAACAAAAGAGTAATTATCATACATTTCATACAGAATATCGCTTTAAATTTGACGCATGTTATCATGCGACCTTAATATTCTGTGTATAAATGACTGTTAACATGTGATTAATCAGACTAGATAAAACAGTGATCTAGATATATTATACTAACTTTAATCCATATGCGATTCGTAACTGATAAGGTTGATCACCTTGTGATATACTGCTGTATATGGCTTATGTATGCTATCACTGTAATCTCGCGGCCAAAATAAGGGATCTTTATGGTTAGCAGAATTCAGGTTTAATGTGTCTTATTAAATAAATCTAGAGTTCACTCGGATCGATAATTGATATAACAAATGATTTTAGTATTGAGATATCCATTTCTGTCACTTAATATGCAGGCTATAGAAGCTTCATACCGTTCTTTCAAAATACAGCGTTCTTGCACCCCTGTACTCCATAACAGTTTGAACAAGTATAAACCAGGGAATTTACATAATCTTTGGAGAAGTCATTATGATCCCATTAGATTTTTATGCTCATAGATGTTGGAAGTTCTAATTCAATTAATATGAGTCTACTTAAACTGGCTCTATTTTTGCGGGAGCTCTTAAAATAAGTTTAAACTGGGAAGACAACTCTGAAAAGCATATTTGAGGTGATTGAAACAATATTTGCAGTTTTCATTGCACAAAAATACTTTTTAAATATTTTAGAACTCAATAGTCCCGGGTAATTTGGAAAAATGCGATAACTTAAAGGAAAATCATCTACCTCAAGATTCTGAAATTCATGCTGGTGACCATTGTGACTCCCAGACACCACAAAAACCAGAAGAAGAAACTGTTGCTCCTTCACTCCAAAATCCTGAAAAATCGTATTCCCAGTCTCGACACCCAAGGCCTGCTTCTGCTAAAGGACAAAGGGTCAAAAGAGATGGTAACTTTTTGGTGTATGTTTTTGCTCATGTAATTTGGTCAAAATCGCCTCTGACATCTCGACTGGTACACATAACTCTGGTATAAGTTTATACTTTTATTGCTTAAATCTAACTGTGACATGTTTCATTTTTGTCAACAACCCATAAACTCCTCGATCAGTTTAAAAAAATTTCATATATTTTCGTAAGTGATTTCGTACACTAAAATGAAATATGAACAAGACCTAGATGAAATCAATGCTTCTTGCTTTAGTGTGCCGTTCCGATTTATATTTTAGTAATTTTTATCATTACTTCTCTTTAACCGTTGACTTTGAAGTGATATAATGGTATATTCTAGTATCTAGCACGTCGAAATTATGTATTGAATGTTGGAATAGTTCCACTGATATTCTAACCAATGAGTCAATTAATTTTGTAAGAACTTTTGGTTGGCTATCGTTAGTTCCTTCAGTCCAATTTTCTTAAATATATGTGGAAACTACTTAACGTGGTGCAGAAATCATTCAGATGCCCATATTTTGTTTTCTATTAGGTTAACGCTGAACGTAGTAAGAATTTCCGAGAATGGATTATTTTTATGAAAATTCGAAACTCTTCTGCTTATTAATATAATTTGTCACAATTTTTTCGACGGATGGGATTTATTTCTAAACTCTCTCACTTAACGTTTTGCCTAAAGCGAACAAGAAGTACTTACTGTGTAAATCCATGCAGATGAAAGTAGAAAATCCACAACACTATAGTTAACTCTGTGAATAAAGATCCAAAGAAATATAATAGTTATTAAGCTGCATAGAACGGTGAAAAAGCTCTAGTTAGATTGGTTAGTTAGAATATATAGTTCTATGCTTTTTATTTCCAAAAGTGCCATTGATTTAACAATATCTATCACAGTAAAATGATTATAATTGTTTGTGATATCCTAAGGAGTAGAAATTTACATTTATGACGTTTCGTGACTTAATGCAGATCACTTATTTACCGTTATTAAACGAATAAAAGAAATGATTTAACTCAAGTTTAAATAGAGGGAAGCCGACAAAACAGAATATTTTCAGTGCAACCGAAATCACGATAGGTTTGAACCTGTCAATGTCATATTATTTTTTGGTCAAGGTGATTCTATTATTGATATTTATAGTAAAATTAATAAGCTGTAAGATGTTTATTGTAAATATATATCTGTATATATATATATATATATATATATATATATATATATATATATACATAGTGTTATATAAATAACAGTTCTAATGAAGGTCCTCGAATTAATGCTATGGTCTTACCCTGCCGATTAGGTCTTTTCAGAAAATCTCGACTCGTATTAAAGAACACTTGAGCCACCCAAAAAGAGCTCCATATAATCTTGTAGAACTGAAAAAAACTACAAATCGAATCAGTAGTAGGAGTACATGTCATTGTCAGTGACCAACGAATCGATATTAATTAAATATATTAAAACAATTCAGAAATATCTTTCCACCTACAGAGAGAGACGAGTGACTGAAATGTTTCAAATAATTCTAAATCCTTCTTCCATCACCAAGAAAGGAGCCCTGAGTATTCATTCAACTTAAAATGTATATCCGAATAATTAAATTTGACTCAAATCACTATTTCTACAATTCTGTGCGTACACACAAAATGATTTCCATCGATTCTTAACCCCACTAAGTACATATATATTTCTTACCTTCCTTCATGCACACAAATAACACCTTAGGGTCTCACACAGAGCACCTTGACCAAAAAAATAACATGACAGGTTCAGACCTATCGTGATTTCGGTTGCACTGAAAATATTCTGTTTTGTCGGCTTCCCTCTATTTAAACTTGAGTTAAATCATTTCTTTTATTCGTTTAATAACGGTAAATTAGTGATCTGCATTAAGTCACGAAACGTGATTAATACAAATTTCTACTCATTAGGATATCACAAACAACTATAATTATTTTATTATTATTAAATTTCCACCCAATGCTCAATCTATTTGAAGTTTTCATATCCAATCTTGTTATTGACACTAAGTATATTTGTAAATTTTCTTTTCGCCTTGTGATTTCTATGCTATATATAATCAGACTATTCAGAATAATTTAAATGACTTTAAAAAGTATTATCGTGCTAATTCATAATCTTTCATAAGGTTTAACTTTAACTACGTACACTACGTAGTTTCCGTATACATGGTAACATTCGAAGGTTATATTAACTGATGTTTAAATCACTACGTGAAGACGGCTTTATCGAAGTTTCATAGTGAACTATACATGATAATGAATGAATCAGAGTTATGCGGTCTCAATCGGTTTGGTAAATTACCGAAATAATCCAAGTGTAGGAATTCAGATTGTGTTCATTCGGCTTCCCTTCAACTCTATAAATAAATGTCTTTGGAAAACTGAACCAGTGAGATACAAGCTAATGATAATTATTCGTATATGGTATACAGAACTATTTATATGCGAAGTAATACTTATCTATTTGTCACTGTTTTAGTTTTGACAGATGCGAAATTATCAACCAATCAAATTGATAATAGACTTGAATCAAATACAAAGTAAGATAAATTGTTTTAAGAGATTTTATAGTCGCTTTCTTTAAATGTTTAACCTTAACTATTTTAATAAAGCTACAAACTACTCATCACTGTTCAATTAATTACAAACTGTTAAAGTTATTTGGATATTATTGTTATCGGTTTTCAATGGTTTTGAATATACTCATCAAGGTTGAACTTGTTGAATTAACTAACAATTTTGTATACATAAGAATCACATATTCAGTAAGTAAAGAACAATAATTACAACATAGAGTTTATAGATGCTGTTGAATTTCAGAGTTTAAATCACCAATGGATCTTAGAAAACCACTGTATATCGTATCAGTAATTGAGTTGTTCAAAACTGTTTAGACGGTCGATTCACTTGGATTTGGTAGTTGTGTTTTACATTAATATTAGTTTAGTGATGGAAATCCTTTATATTATTCAGAATGTTTTATTTATATGGGCTAAAGAATCCAAGTTTTTGCGTTTAGTTTATTTGAACAAAATAGAGATGAGTTATGTTTCAGATAATTTAGAAGGCCTTCACAATTTTTCTACTTTGTTTAATGACACATCGTCATTAGGGTGATTGATGCCTACCTACCAACATCATTCAGTACTGCTTATTGTATGCTTATTTTGCATCTGTAACAAAATCTAAATGTTGAAGTCATTGACACGTATCACAAAAATTCAGTCTCTATTTGTCAAAAATATACAATGATCAATATAGCAATCGAAATCCACTATATTAAAATGGCTTTTTTGCTGAAATACGTTGTGTTTTCCATAAATTTTTCCTCAACTGTCCTGAGAAGTGAAAATTTGGGAAAAACATTCTTTTCTGGTAGTAGATAGTAAACTAATATAGTGACTTATTTCCAATGATTCTACACTCGAATATACTGTCTTCAACAAATACCACTATTTCTTTCTGATGATTTATCAACATTCTACCCAATATTTCAGTTAATTTGAAATTATAAAATCTAACTTGAGTAACGAAGCTTACGAATTTATCTGCATAATCGCTCGTTAATATACATAGTCTACAGAAATCGGAATTTCCTGGGAAAATTCCCTATCACGGTTTATAACCAGTGGGATAGTAAACGCAAACCGAGGAATTATAAGCTAAACGGAAGTTTGTATGAAATACGAAAATTATAATAGGAGTCAAAAGAACTTAATCTATGAATGTTCAAGAGAAGCGTTAAGTTACATTTCACACTTACAGCTAACAAACAAAGTAACATACAAATTTGAAGTTGTAAACTGTTACTGCCTGAGCATCGAATACACACCTTTTCTGAAGTTAAACTCTGCATTCCGTTCAATCTACTTTTCAAAGTTAAACCCGAAAATGCAAAATAACATTGATATAGTGGTATGAATAAACTTGCACTTATAGCATTACTTTGCAAGCAGATGGCATAAGAGGACAATTTCTAAATTATAAATAATAATATACTTAATGAAGCGGTTCCTCAAATCATTCAATAGGAACACTAGAAACTGCATCGCCTTCAGATGAAAATTTTAATTTTGTTTTTCTACTTAATAATAAATACATAAAATATTCACTCTGTGGTTTATAAAATTCTCTTAACATGCATTGCTTTTTGCTAGTTCCAGATTGGTTCTACCTCGCCCAAGACGTTCCACTGATTTAGGAATTGAAGACAATCAAAAGTAAGCGTTTTATATTATCAAAGAAATATTCAGTAGTGGATTTTGCGCTTGAAACGTATGAGTCTTCCAGGTGGTTGAATTTGACATATTTTACTAAAAGAGACATTCAAATATTTGCAAACAGTCTCTTTTAACATTACATTTAAAAGAACTTTATTGTCGTCATTTTCAGTGAGCTAAGATGAATGAACCAGTCAGATCTAAAATTGCGAGTCTTGGATTTTAGTGCGAAATTCATTCATCAATATGACCACATTACATTTTGACATTACAGCTGATATCAGTGTGCAGTAAAAAAAACATTACTTCTAAGTCCCAATCTAACCTGAATCTCTAAACTTTAGTTGCATTTACTCATAATGATAAATAATGCTATTTCTACTGTGGTAAGTGGTAAGCTTTCTAGAGACACTTTATTATTGCTCACAGATCGTCCAAAAATTACGTTCTCGCCTTAAAAATTAATTAATTAGTTTTTCAAATCTAATGTTATTATCTTTGAATGATTGTTTCTTTTGATACAATCAATTACTTGATTTTCTTGACGCCACTGGATTATTCTTTCATATCTGTTCATTTGAATAGGTATTTTTAAAGTAACATGGTCTGTGTACAGTTTCATTAAGTCTACTCTTGTTCTGCTTTGTTTTGACGAAAACTTGAGACTTCACTAATGCCAGCTTATTTTAAAAATACTATTAGTATATGTGTAAGGATAGCAGATTGATAAGTTGCACTAGATTTTCTTGATTACCAATTTTTCAGCAAATTTCAAATGTACATTTACTTCTACGATAACCTTTTTTAATATCGTACTGCTCTCAATGTTATTGTTACTTAATCTGTAATTCGGTATACCTTGAGTTGAAATTCCTTTTATTGCGTACTTTAAGGTTACATGCACACACAACGTACTAGTGATTGCCAGATGATGAAAAATAAATCTTAGTACCGTTTTCTTACTTCTTCTTAACACTCAACTGTATTTTGTTCAGAACATTTTATTAATTTTCTCCTATAAAGTTACTCTTTTCGATAATAATGACAACGAATGTATTGTTAACATATTTTGAATTTGCATCTCACTCCCATAATTAACAAAGATTCCATTTATTATGTGAGATATTCACTCAGGCAATTAATTCAAAACAATATATAATATCAGTTTATCTTTTCTGGTTGTTACTTAGAATCTGACTCCAATACTCTTATAATGCTGCTATGTAGCTATTCGAAATCTTACCGACTGACCGAATTCAGATATTCCAATACAATCCCACATACTGTTCTCGAATCTCCAATATATCAGAACACAACACGGTTAAATGAAGTTGTTTATGTGGTCGAATACTGAAGGAATGAATGAAACAGAGGGAACTGAATAATAGGCTTTACAGATAATGCATATTTATACAGTTAGGTCGAATAGGAAACAACATTGAAGTATGTGACATTGACAGTTAGGACGACCATATTATTGACCAGTAGGAATTGACCAATAGAATTAGATTTCCAAAAATAGTTCTGTTAGGATATTTGATGAATATCCTAACAAATACTGAGTAAGTTATACATCTTCCGGATAGGCTATAATATGTTGAAATAAAATATTCTAAATGTTTCATTCTTCATTGAAGCGTTGCAAAGATATGCTTTATCAATAAATTCAATTATCTCTATACATCATAATGGTTTTAGAACTTTTTAAGATAACGTCATTTTCTGTCCAATCAGGAGATTATTTCAAATTTATCTGTACATGAGAATCGTTATTTTATCTCTCTATCTACTAATAAGATTGTATTCTGTTGTCTACTACAGTCTAGTCTAATTTTAACTTTTTATCATTCTGTACAAAATTTTCAGTCGTTTGAAATTCTCCTTACTGTCTCAATAGCATTGAGATTATATGATTAAACGAGTTCACTGTGTCTAGATCTGACATTTTTCATCTGCAACTACATATTTAAATCTCAAGAATGCTATTACTTACAAAAACCTCAAAAAAATATTGACTAGTCTTACAAATATCACAAATAAGTATTTCCTGAATTTTATATGAAGTACGGTTAGAAGAATACTGTTTGAAAATATCAGCTACTATTTAGATGAACGCACCTTTGGTATACACGAAAATGAGAATTACTTGACTGAAAAGACTTCAACCAAAAATGGTTAATTGAAAAATCAAAATGGGAATGGTGAGTGTTATGAAGCATTCAGTGAACGGTTTATCGTCAGTGATTTTGAATTAGAAAAATTAATCAGGCATTACAGATGGACAGATTAAAATATGACATTTTATGGATCACTAAAGGTGGTGAATATGAAGTCTTACATGCGTTTCTGTGCCAGTGGTTGAAATATTTTTTTATTGACAAATATTAAAAGTGCCTATCTAGCTATCGTTTATACAGACATGCATATTTGACCGATAATCGACTATATTAGGAGAAAACTAAGGATGAACTAAATGCAGATATAATATCAGGTCTTAAAACCATGAACTATTATATTCAACTATACCGAATGATGCGCGTATAGTAATATGATTTTCCTAGATGACTGTAGCCTAAGATTGCAGCGCTTAAGTGGCAGGAATCAAAATCGGTCCTGGCGATGAGATATATTTTCATTCTCTTTCCTCTGGATTCTTGATTTTATGATGATTACAGTCTTCTTTGTACTTTTCATCTCTTCTTCCGAGAGTGTTTTTTATATGCCCAGTTCATTGTGTTTACTAAAATCAGTTCATTTTGTATTTTTATCGTAGTAAGCTATAAAGTTTGAGCTCATCACAAACTCTTTCATCTCCTAGCTTGGTTTCTTTGTCTTTTGTTTAACTAGACAAATGAATACTACATGTATATCTGGACTTATTATTTCTGACACACAGCAAGATACAACCGATGAAGAGGATCATGATAATAATAATGATGGTGCAGAATTGATTAGTAAAGAAACTAATGGTGATCCATCAGCTGAGATTTTAACAGATCAGTGGAACAAAACTGAGTCAGGAGATAATAATGAACATGGTGAGCTTATGTACTTTAAGTCATTATCGTCATAAAATAAGCATAAATGTTACAAAAAATATCTTGGAAATCATATCTAACCGCAGGAAAGTCTAATCATTTGTGTCTGTAGGATAGTATTAGTTACAGTTGTGAGTTATGTTGTCTGCTGCGTTGCTCACTTGACTTACATAACGGTTTAACATAAGTTTAAGAATTGCTAATTTATCCTGCTGTAAGGAATCAAATTCGAAAACCCAATTAAAAATATTTTCATAAGTGTTTTTTTTTCATATGTTTTATTTAATCATAACTAATTTCTCATTTTCATGTGGATCTGTATATTTACTGTTTGCATTAACAGTATATGTGTACACTGGATCACCTTATATAGTTTTGAATATTACAGGTACTTCTAAATCATTTTCAGAATGAAAGTCAGTCACTACTGAAATGAAGTCTTGGATTCATAACTATTCACCAAATGCATTCGTATTGATAGTTCGCACAAGCCAGTGGCTGTTTGAACTCAGAATTTGAGTGGATAACAGTGCGATGGTATTTGAAGCGAACAGAACTGAGTTGGAGTCTCAGAGTGAATGTCAACTCTGAGATGCATATACATCCAGTTGAAAAGTCCCAAATAGAAGCAAATATGAGTCCTGAATTCAATTGCTAGCCACTTTCCCTCTTTGCTAGTTTTTTTTTCATCCTGAATGCACGACTGACCCAGATTGTTTCTTAGCTGTTTGTTGAGATGTTATTTATTTTTATATAATTCAGCTTGTTACAAATAACCCTCATTGTAAATTGGCAAAAGGCTGATTTTATTAACTCATCAAAAAGGCAACCTATCTCAACAGTACCACTTATCTATCAAGATATTACCACAAGGAAACAAAGTTACTCATCGTAAAGAGACCGTTTTAGCCTTTCTGAAAACATAAAAGTTTATATTTATCATTTCGATGTGAATATCATGATAATCGTTTCTCGGTAAAAGAAATAGTAAAGCTAGTTTTTCGCTTTTTGTTTCTACTCAACTTGTCTAGGTGGTTTAGTCACGAAAATTTTGCAAACAAAAAAAGAATTTGAAAATTTTAGTGGGATGAATAAAGAATATTCAAAAGTACAGGTTTGTTATACTATTTTTTTTCAGAAAAAAAAATGACAAATTTAATGTTACTGTTCCAATTTAAATTTAATTTATTGTAGCTTCCTTAATTGGAATTCTTGTATCATTTAAACTAAAGAACAGTCATTTGAAAACTAAGTTTCTTAATTTTATGGAGAAAAAAAGTAGGATGAAAATCCTCATTCCGAAATGAATATTCCTAGTATAATGTAGAATCTTCCATTTCAGGTCATTAAAAGATCTTTGCTTAGGCTTCTTATACAAAGTTAGATCACATAAGCCTGAAACTTCATTTACAAATGTGTTTCCTTTTTGCCACAATATTCTGAAACTATGTTTGTCTTCAATCTACCATCTACTTTGTTTTGAAACAAATTAACATTCAGTTATATAGATCCAACAACCATTCAACTATGAAAAAGTGAATTTTTCTGATTTAAAAACCAGCATTTAGGATCGCTATTACTCATTCGACATTTTCTTCGCACTATGGTCAAACTGTGGAGTAGTCAACATTCATTTATTATTATGTTATGTTAATTAGTAATTTTAAAATGTATTAGATAAACATTAAGCATGTTAATATTCATAGAAAGTGTACTTTAAAAAAAGTATATACAATGCCCAACAAATTGTAGAACCATTTACTGGTGGATACATTTTCTCATATTCACTTAAGGTAAATACAGAAAATGAAACTAGTGAATAAATTTTTTATCATATCGTAGTATGTTTTATTCGCCAAAATTATACCAGCATTTTAAACCTAATTCGCAGTACAGTAATCCGTAAATAATGAAATTCCCAAAAAAATTGATTCAGGAAAATATCGATATGAATTCCTCTCAGACTTTTAATAAAACAATATGATTTCATGTACTATGATGTTGATACTTTTGCTGTGAAATGTATACTGTTAGTCTCAATTTTAAAATCATATATAATGTCTTTATTAGTTTATGCTGACATTATTCGTTCGACATTATTTGCTGTTTTTCTTTACAATTATACACTAAGACTGTGTTTTTTTTAAAAAAAAACTGATATTTGATCATTTAAATGGATGAACACTAATTGAAAATAATCATTTTTATTTAATTAAAACTGTTGTTTAATGATTGCATCATTTTTGATTGCAATAAAGTACACAATAACTTCACTTTTTCGGTCAATAAAAAGTGAAATGATTTTTTTTTTTAAATTAAATGTTAGGCTAGTGAATTGACTGATGCAGCTAGAGAACGTGAAAAAGCTTTATTAAGAAAAGATATCAGTCGTTTATGTAATTCACTTCAAACATTATCCCGTTCAGCTGTTCCATTGAGTAAATTGATGGATTTTGTTCAAGAAGATTTAGAAACAATGCAACAAGAATTTGAACGTTGGAAGAATGAAAATCATACGCTTAAAACTCAACTGAAGCAAGAAGAAAAGTAAGTGTTAGTAGTATCGATGTGTTGGACTTAATTAACTATGACTATTTAGCATGAGGTATTTTTGATAAGAAATAATCATGATTATAGTTATCAGCATAAACTCGTACAAAAATTCAACTTTTCCTAGTACGCTGATAAGAGAATATAAAATATCATGTACATATTCAGTGAAGCAGCAAAATTATACGGTCGAGTGTACCAGAATTTAGTGCACTTCAAGTGCATCTTATGGAAAAACAGAATTTTCAGTGACATATTTCTGTATAAGACGGGTTAAGAGGCACAAAATCTAGGTCAAAAAATTAGCATTCACAATCAGACCTAATTAATTTCTGTAACCAATAAGTGTTAAAAGCATGAAGCTCATACAGTAGAAACGACTAGTACCTGCGGCTAATACTAATTAGTCATTTTCATATCGGAACAGAGATTGAAGAAATAGTAGCTCCCAGAACTAGCTTATGGATTATTATTATCGTAAGTATCTTTATTGTTTGATCATCAAGAAACTGGATTACTATGACTGTTTTCTTGTCAGTCTATTTAGTATTTATATTTTCCCCTATACATAGCCACTTTCGGTTTCTTTATGAATAACTGTTACTTTTATTGTGCAATCTTCTATGTTTATGTATAAACCGCGTCTGTTTGAAACATAAATAAAGCAGAAACCGACCGCTTATTCTAGCCTGAAGACCAGGTATAGAGAGGAGATGATGAATAGTGGACAAATAAAAACCCAGCTGTCGTGTCTAGTCAATAGCACTAATCGGACTTGTAACTGGCCAAGTCAGACACACCAAGCTAATACAGTAAATATTAAACCTTGTTAGAAGTAGGATTTTGATTGGTGACTGGGCACGTAGTAGTAGTCATAAGGTCCCAAGACATAAAAATTATCACAAGAATTATTATTTTACAAAATGCGTCACGGAACCATGTTCGCCCATGCACCTTTAGAAGGACTTCAGTTTATCCTGTTCTCCAGTCACGTTTTCTTTCGTTGTTCTCTCACATTGCTTCTAAGTTGCCGTGAGTCGTTTTCTCTTCATTTGCATCTGCGTATGCAACCGGCTCCTGTGAGTCCAACTTATGGTTAGTTTAATGAAACTGTGCATTGGGTTGAATAGATTAGAGTACAACCCTTACAGTTAACATTCTGAGGATGAGGAAACTCGTAAACCAAATGTCGTCCCGCGAATGCCACTAAAGGCCGTTGGTGCTACGAGTCCTACAGACAGTTCTCTTGTGTCGTGCAAAATGCTCATTAATGTTCATTTCTCCATGTACCCCTTTATCCTCCTCTACTAATCAACAGAAAATTCTCATTCTATGTACAGCTCTGAATGACATATTGTGTTATATTTTTACTGCAGAAACTGCCTGAATTTCAAGTTCATATTTTCTTAAAACGACAATCTATCATTACAATAAAAATAATGTTTTATAAGTTATTTGAAACTTTATATTTCTTAACATGACTATTTTACACTTACAGTTTAACCCAATCATGTATTGAACCTTTGAAAGCTCAACTAGAAGAATTAGAACAATACGCTAAAGAAAAAGAGAAAGCTATCGTTAAATGCAAAGCTAAAATAATTCATAACAATGAGCGCATGCAAAATTTGTTGTTTAAATCAGTTGGAAAAAGTCTTATGAACATTCACTCAGAGCAGAATAAAATGATGACCAAGTTGCGTTTTTCATATGAGCATTCTGTTTATCAAAGTGTCACATATTCCCTCCAGCTTTACGGCTATTTTCTTCATACTATATTAACACTCATCTTTTTTCAAAACATGAGCCTGAAGTATTTGGGGCTATCTTAAACAACATCTCACCGAAACAGCTGTATCCATTTCAGTCACTAAATAATTGTATATTATTTACTAACAGGTAATATGAAGCTAATAAGCGGTTCGAATAAATTATGATCTTCCTTACTGATTCTTTTAAACTGTTTTACTGGTATTAGTTATTTTGCACTTTACCAAAATAATCTTTCTCTGTTCATTTCAGTCCAACATTTTAAGTCCCAATCGTTTTCCCCAAATATCCTTATACCCTATTTATCAAGAGGACGACTAGATTTATTATCTCATCGTTTAATGTCTTATGAAGAGATGTGTGATCTCATTAAAAACACTTTACTTTTACCAATTTAATATTGTTTTCAAATTAATTTCGTAAAGCTTGAAAGTGACATTTGTTGTACTGATTCGATACATTTATTATTGGGTATTGATCAATACCATTTGTTGATGACTTGATAAAACAAATTATTTGTCAGGTTTAATGTTACCCGTAGTATCCATAAATGATTAGGCGGGTTAAAACTGGAAACTGCAACGAACTCGAACTTATTCAGTATAAAAAGCTGAAGATCATCCCTAAGATTTATATCTTTTAGTCGTGTATCATAAGAATTTATGGAATCAAAACCACTATTATGTGAACACCCATAAAAGACAATACAACTCCAAGACATAGGTCAAGGATATAACTTAGTTAATAATTTTAATGGTAAGCATTCAGCAAAGGGTCTCCTCATTCGTATATCATTATTTTTTTGACAGGTTCATGGAAATTGTACTACATAATAAAAAATTACAGCAATTAGATTGCAGTGACATGATTTCTTACTTGTTTTTATAGCCATCCAACTCAAGCTTAGTGCTGGGTTAGCCATGAGGTGAGATACTTCTAATACGTTTTCATTGCAGAGTAATGGGCTTGACATGTGAAAAGTAGGTGTATTATGAAATTAACTGCTTTCTTTAAAACCTAGGTAGTGACCATCATTTAAGTTGTGAAACAAGCACTATTCATAGAGATAAACACTTTTTAAAGGTCAAATACAAGATTCTTTAACCCTATTATAGCAAATGGTAGTTAATGAGGAGACTTTGCGCTTACAAATCCGAAAATGCAACGTTAGGTTGTCATGAGCATCTATTCACTTATTTTCGGGAGGACATTATGCTTTTCTAATGTTTTTAAGACTGTTAAAGGCGGCAAAATATTTTACTCTGAAAGTAAAACCCCAGACATCGTACTAACACTATTATGACGACGATTTGAAAAATATAAACTATTAAACTCTGTATATTTCCTACAGACTGATTATATTAAGAAATGCCAGTCTGAAAGTATAATATTCGTACTTTGGATATGTTTACTGAAGCAATATTCAGGTGACCAACTGTTTTAGCCATATAAAATAAAAGACGTATACATACGATCAAGCACAGACATATAAGAATTTTCACGGTTACGAACTAAGTAATCGATATAGTCGAATGTAGAGAAGTTACTAAGGGTTTCTGGATAATTCAATGTCCAATATCTTTTTCACGAGCTATAAACCAGTTGATTTGTTCGCTCTCGATTCTTGTTCTTTCGGCAAGGTTCAGGGTGTTTGGTAGGTGTCCAATAAATGGGGTTCTGGCCCACTCGACTGTCTAATTCTAAGCAGTTGGTTGTGAGTTTCTTTGTCTCGTGATTTGAATGAAAACGTTTGTTTCAGGGCTGTAGGGTTTCTGGATACCAGCAGTTATCACATTACCAGACCGGAGATAAGTTATTTGCAATGTAGGAAATAATAAGGATGAAATTCTAATGCCAATATGAAAATGAAATCAATAGATAATTTAGTTTATTAATTGGTTAGAGAAGATTGTTAGGGAGGACCGAAGTGTAAGCAAGGAAGAGGAAATAGAGATATCAGGACGAAATAGACTAAGTTTTCCCGAAGCCGTCCACTGATGGGTCTGTGGTCATCTCGTACTGGCAGAGCATTCCAAGTTGCGACTACTCTTAATCAGAAAAAGGATTTTAGTTTCCTTAGTACTAAGTAAGGAGTGATACGGATGTTCCCTAAGCCGTCAGCTGGCACTGGGTTTGCGTAGTACTCTGAACTTGTGAATGTCTGATTTAACTGCCCAATAAAGTTAGTGTTGAAGATCTCAGCCATCTCTAGATTGCTGAGTTCTTCCCTTGTTCGGTCCAGCACTTGACTAGTAGGTTTTCTTTTGGACATGAATCTGAACAGATGCTTCGGGTTTGTCCTGTATTTTAGCAGCTGGCTTCATCTGAAATTGCCTCCTGTCACTTCGAACTTTCGTATTGCATCTGTTTCGCAATGCCAAGTAAGAACTGCGATCGGAACCCTCCAAGGAGACCTTCCACTTGTGCCAGGCTCTCCTCTTCGCCTGAAGCAAGCGTTCAGTGCCGCGCCTTAGCCAATGCTCTTCTATTTCCGGGTGCGTGGTGTGACTGAGGTACATTGTCTACGACAGCATTTTGATGATATCTCTCACTGTTTGCCAGTGATCATCTACTGTTAGCCGCCACCGCTGCCGCGGCCATGGAGCATGTAGAAGGATCTCGCCCATACACGTACAGTTTGCCCAAGTGTAGCATAGATGGGGCTCGTTTTCGTCCTGTGTGGGTGTTTCGTTTATGACCATGCTAAACAAGACTGTGCCATGGTCATTACTACGCATTCGGTGTATGGACGTGGACATCCTCAACCAGGAGCTAGTCATTTGTTAACAGGTAAATGCAGGTTTCAGGACTTTCCTTCCCTAACCCACCTAGGGCACTGCATACGTGTTCAGTAAGCCCAGAGCTTCTAATGGCTGAGCCAAGTCGTCTTTGGAAACTACCAGTGGGAGTTGTGCCCTGATAGCTGAGATTTAGAGATAGAGTGTCGAAATCTCCAGCTTGGAGTATTTGATCAAACTCAAGGAGTGCGCTTTAGTACCTGAAGAAGGTCGGTAAATCCCTCCAATCAATTATTTCCTGCCATTTTTGTGGGAAAAACACCAACCTCACCTCATTTAGTTGAGTGTCGTGCAGCCGCTCGGCTTTTAAATTGTTGTTTATATATATATATATATAGCCACTCCGCCTCCTGCTTTGTGCACCCTATCGCTTCGGAGGTGTCATGCCTTGCAAGATCACTTTGTCGTCTGCAGTGTCAGAGAAAAGCCATATTTCAGTCAGGATTATGATCTTCCGATCCATCTGCGAGCACATATTCTTGATTTCTGATAGATTACCCCTTAGTCCTCTTACTGAGCCACTTGGTTGTTTTTCCCATCATCTGATGCACCTCTGCAACAAAAGCTTTTGTCAGATTTTCAAACATGTTGTTCAAAACGAGTTGGTTAGTTCTGTGGTAACTGGCCTCTGCAGGTTTTTCGCCTGTGAACTGAATTCAGTCGGCGAGGCTTTTATCTTCGTGTCTTGTGCCAAAAGTTGTCGGTCGAGGTCAACTGTCAGTTTCGTGCGTTTATTGTGGCCTCCCTGCTTTCGTCTCACAGATCTAGGTCGGCCTTCGCAACACCTGATGTGGCCAGACAGGTCGTTCTTAGAACTGGAGTGCTTCAGTCAGGTCTTCCTGTTTCCTGAATGTCACAGACATCAGACGTGATGGCTTAATGGATGTGAGTTGTGACGAGTGGGGCAACCTAGAAGTGCAAAGAGCCATCGTGGTCTGAAGGTCTGTACTACGTGATAGCCATCACGACTGGTACACATTGTGCATGTGAGCTTCGTCCAGGCTACCGCTAGCGAGTTTTGGTATGCCGTGAGCTGCCATGATGACCTGCTCTTGGATGCCCGGTGTTGTTCTGGGTGCCGCCCGTACCAACCATGGTTTACCATGCCTGATGCGAATTGCGGAGGACAATCTGACAGAGGGTCTTTGGGATGAGAAGAGGATGTCTTTGGCAAGTCGTGCGGAGTGTAGAGTTACCTTAATTTGAGGGGGTTTCCCTTCCGAGACATTCTAAACTTTGAAAAGGAGGCATATTTTAGCTAGGGAATCCCACATTCCGAGTATCACGCAGTATTTATTGCACTGTTCTTTGTCAAAAGCAGCCCTACCTTCTAGTGAGGTACCTTCCGACACTGGGACATTAAATAAAATGAGCCGATTTATTCTATTGTCCCCGTCCTTGAGTGGTAGCCGCTTGTGGGTTGTGGTGCTGCCATTCCCGTTCTTCAAATCCACCCACTGTTTTGTATTGTTTACAGATACTGTGGATTAACAGCAACCGGCTGTTTCATCGGTGTTTTAGTTAAGGTTTTGGTTGCCTTGGTCACCAGTTTCACCGGTTTAGTGCCAAGCAATTTTAGTTTGTCCGTTTGTACTTCTGAGCTGATTTCGGGTAGGGCCTGTGGTTCCAGCAATGACTCAGATACTGTATACCGTGGGCAGGCATACCAGAGACACAGGCAGGGGTGACTCAACATGATTCCATAGTACTCCTTAATTACTGTAGTGTCGCGGTGACAATGGACCCATGTACTACGGAAATCGCATTCAAAAGCAGAGTCGGTGATTTTGACTGGCATTGAGCAGGCGAAACAGTCATCTTTATACGGTTTCTGTACAACAGACTTTGTCGACTGAGCTTTGAGACACCTTTTCAACCTATTCTTAACTAGCCTACTAGTCCTTTTAGGAATAGGATTCGGAGAAGTGATGTCTTTCTTCCACTGTATGTGACCTCTCACCTGAGACTGGGATTTTCGCCTCACTATCGACCCCGAAGTTATTACTACTTCAGGTTTTACTGGTTGTTATACTGTAAGATGTGCTAGCAGTCTTATTATTTAACATGATACTAGAGAGATTTAGAGGTGAATACGAGATAATTAAGATACCAAATACATGAAATAGGAATTTAGGAAGTCCAAGTGGAACTTTAATTGTTGCTTTCAACAACATTAGCACAATTTTTAGGCAGAAGTGAGGTATTTAAATTTTGCCACACACGACTTGCAGCTTGTCTTGTCGACCTCTGTCTTGATCATTAACCATTACAAATTTAAGATGTTTTTCTTGACAGTTTTAAAAGTAATCAACTAATGTTTAACATTCATTCACAATGATTGTGATATTGTCTA